TAAAGATTATTGATATAAAGCAAAACTAATTAGGAAACTATGAAACGTCAAGCGGAGGATTAAAACAAAAGTGGATCTGAGATTGGAGAAACCAAGAAGTCTTACGTAGGAGAGAAGTGAAATGTAGAAATCTTTGGTGGGTATCAAATCAAAAACATCGTTTGGAGAGAAGAGTCCCAGGACAGAGGAAATTTCTACTTCGGTTTGTATAGATTTTTTGGTTATCTAATGATTCATTCTCGTTTGTTTGGAGAAAACAAGGATGTCTTCTGCTCTTCCTACCAATGAAAGCGCGCCACTTTGGCTACTGGTTCGTTTTAGCATGCTTTGACGCTCTCTCATTTACTTTTGTTCGTACGTCCCATGTTTGTTTTAATCGTTTTTATCCATAATTTTTTGTCTGAGGACAGAAGTACAAGAACATAGTACAATATTATTGTCATAATATATTCAAAGGTGTTAATGACTTTTTAATAAATCTAAATAATTCACTTAAAGTTGATATTTTTTTATTTTCGCAAAAATAAAAATTGAACGTTGGACTTTTATTTAGCACAAAATTAAATATATATTATGGTGTATTAAAAATGAATAATTACATATATTAAATAATATTATATAATTCATTATTAAAAAATGTTTAAATACCGAATCTTTTATTTCTTTTTTTTACTTTTCCAAGAAATTTAGCAATATTTCTCATATGATAAAACATATAATAACTTGCATCTTAATTAGCAAACATTATTCTCATTGAAGCATCCAAATAATATATAGAAGATATGTGTATACTACAATTATAATAGATTTATGACAAGGAGATATCTAGCACCTCCAATTTAGTAAGCTTTGTAACACCCAACATATAAATTTTTATTTTTATTTTTTGTTTGTTTTATTTTTTTTTATAAATATAATTATTTATTAATTTAATTTAATTTATTTTTTATTTAATTTAATTTAATTTAATGAAATAATAATAATAATAATAATAATAAGGGGTGAAAAAATTAGTTAAGAATTAAATTGAAAATAATTTTGAAAAAAATAGATAAAAATTTAAATTCTGATAGTATTTTTGAAAGAAAAATCGAAAACTATAGTCAAAACGCAATTTTTTAAAAAATTGTGCCACATCAGATGCCCGGTCAACAGCACCAACCAACTAAGACGCGCCAGGTGGCAAAGGCACTGACACGGGAAGCCATGCGGGGGGAGCCACGTGGGTGATCCGCGTGCGCGCGATCGAACGACTGAGGTCCCTTCCCGCGCGCACGGACGGCCCATATTGAATAGCGATGAACAGCTCAGATTCACTCCTTATTTAATCGTGATTGGACGGTTCAGATCAAAAGCGATGGACAATCCAGATTAAAAGCGGATGGGTATATATAACCCCATCCGCACTCAAATCCTAACCCTAACCGCCAGAAACCCTCGCTGGAGAAGACAGCCCAGCCGCCGGGGAGCCGACCGCCGCCACCCGCTGCCGCACCAGAACCTTTCCTGACCGCCAAAAGAGGTAAAAAAAATTTCTTATTGCACAAAATTAATTTTAAACCCACCCATGGCCAAATCAGAGTGAAAGAACCGGCCAATTGACCGGAAAACGCCGCCGAAGCACGACAACGCCGCCGCGGAAAATTTCACAAACTGCCTCCGATGAGGCCCTTCCCGATTTCTGTTTCATGTAATTTTTCTACCGTTGTGATCGCCGTTCCCTTCTCTACAGGTTGACTGGAGCAAAACACCCAACCGCAACGTGAGCCGGAGGAACCGCCGCACCGGAGAGCCTTGCTGCCGGTGAGTTTTGATTTTCTACATTTTTCGGCCAACCGAGGGCCCTAAGTGTGTTTTCTCATAGGAATTTATGCAAATTTGGCTTAATTCAGCCAAAAATAGACGAAAACAGTCAACTCGAGGTAGATCGCTGCGGCAAGCGGCGGTGCCATTTCTGAAACACGGCGGAGCCGCCATGTCGGATTTCCAAAATTGGCCGAGTAGGCATTGGGATTGATTTTTGGGTTATTTGGGACATTTATAGGTACCGTAAGCGTGTTTCAGTTCCTAAAGAAAAATTCAAGGAACCTAGGGACCGCCCGTAGACGTAGTAAACCATTTAGCTTTTCGGCATCAAATCAGGTAAGAACCCGTCACCCTATTTTTTATCATAGAATTGAAGTTTGAATAAATAATAATATTGTATTTTGTACAAATTAAATAGATGTGCATAATTAATTACGGATTGCTAATGGAGCCCGAATCAGACATTGTTCTCTGTTGATTTATCTTGCAATCTAAAAGTATGATGGTTTTTAG